AAAAATTTATGAGATGACTGAATCCACATCATGCTAGCTGTTCTCTTGGCTTTATCCTCTACATGGTTGGAATCTTGTTTCTACTACAAGGTACAATTTATTTTATTTCGTTATCTTGGGATTGCTGATTATGCAAGTGGATATGCAGAACGAAATATCAGACCTGGAAGATGCTGAGATTGTGAAAAGGCAAGAGGGTTTTGTTGAGATGTGGGATGTTTTGAGAAAGAGGGAAATTATCTGGAAGCAGAAGTCAAGAAGTAAATGGGTGCATGAGGGAGACGCAAATACCCGCTTTTTTCATAGAGTTGCAAAAGGAAGAAGAGCAGAAAACAATATTGTGGGTTTAATGTGTGATGGGGCATGGATTGATGATCCAGTTTTAGTTAAAAATGAGATCGTCAGATACTTCAAAAGATTATTTCAAGGAGAGGCATGGAATAGACCAAAGCCTGGGGATATTAGATTCCAGCAGCTATCCGAGGAGAAAAAAGATTGGCTGGAAAGACCTTTTTCAGTTGAAGAAATAGAGGAAGGCTTAAGGAGCTGTGAAGGGTCAAAGGCTCCAGGACCTGATGGTTACAACTTTAACTTTCTTAAATTTGCGTGGCACTGCATAAAGGAGGACTTCATCAACTTTTTTACGGAATTCCACTGTAATGGTAAATTGGTGAGGGGTCTAAACTCTTCTTTTTTAACCATGATTCCTAAAAAGTTAAATGCAGTAGAATTAAAGGATTATAGACCCATTAGCTTGATAGGATGTGTCTATAAATTATTAGCGAAGGTGCTGGCTAATAGATTGAAATCAGTAATATCAGAAATAGTGAGTGAAATGCAATCTGCTTTTGTGCGAGGCCGGCAGTTGGTGGATAGTGTCTTGGTGCTGAATGAAGTTGTGGATGAAATAAAGAAGAAGAAACAACCAGCCTTTGTGTTTAAAGCAGATTTCGAAAAGGCTTATGATTGTGTAGATTGGTCCTTTTTGGATTGGATGATGGAGAGTTTTGGATTTGGAACAAAATGGAGAGGCTGGATTAAGGAGTGCCTTTCAACGGCGAGAATCTTGGTTCTGGTAAACGGAAGCCCGACAAGGGAATTTGAGGTGGGTAAAGGGTTGAGACAAGGTGATCCTCTATCTCCTTTCCTCTTTTTGATGGTTGCAGAGGGGTTACAAGGTCTGGTACAAAGAGCAGTAAAGGAAGGAATGTTGCATGGGATTGAGATTGGAAAGAAAGGCCTGTCCGTGTCGCTACTCCAGTTTGCTGATGATACAGTCATTATGGGCAGAGCGGATGCTGAGAATATACGTACGGTGAAGGACATCCTAAAATGGTTTGAACTTATGTCGGGCTTGAGGATCAATTTCAGCAAGAGCAGCATTTTTGGTTATAATGTGTCGGAGAAATGGCTAAAAGGATCAGCGGGTATGATACAATGCAGGGTTGGTCGAGCACCGTTTCTTTATCTGGGATTGCCTATTGACGGTAAATCTGGGAACAAGAAATATTGGGAGCTGGTTGTAAACAAATTCCGTACCAAACTCGCTGTCTGGAAGGCTACTACTCTTTCCTTTAGAGGCCGCCTCGTCTTGCTAAATTCGGTACTCTCTGCTCTTCCTATTTTTTATATGTCTTTATATTTATTACCTAATGCTGTGATTGAGGAGTTGATTAGAATTCAAAGGAGGTTCTTATGGGGCGGGGCAAAACTAAATAAGAAAATTCCATGGGTTAAATGGGAATACGTATGTCGAGCTAAGGCGAAGGGGGGGCTCGGGGTGCCTGACTTACAGAATAAAAATTGGGCTATGTTAGGAAAATGGTGGTATAGGTTTGGTGACGGGGTCGAGAGTTTATGGAAAAGGGTGGTAAGGGAGAAATATTATAGGGGTAGGAGGGAGGTCGATATTACTACGATTGAGTGTTTAAAGGTGTCCAAGATTTGGAGGGACATTATTCAGATTGGGGGTCGATCTCTCAAACTTAGGAATATATTGGCTGAGGGTTTCAAGTGGGACGTGGGTGAAGGAAATAGAGTGGGTTTTTGGTCTGATAGGTGGATTGGTGTTAAAAGTCTTAGGGATTTGTTCCCTAGGTTATTTGCTCTTTCTGTGAAGAAGGATGGAAAGGTTTCTGAGATGGGGATTTGGGAAGAGGGTAGATGGTGGTGGAGGATGGAGTGGAGGAGGGGTACAATAGGGAGAGAGAAAGATGAGGAGGTGCTGTTGGAGAAGGTGCTAGAGGGTGTCAAACTAAAGGAGGGGGCAGGGGATGTTTGGAAGTGGATACATGTGATGGATGGCAAATATGGGGTGAAGATAGCGTATGATTTTCTAGCTACTTCGGAGGGTGTCTTAGAGGACCAGATGTGTAAACTAATATGGTGTAGATTGGTGCCATCCAAAGTGGCTTTTTTTGGGTGGTGTTTGTGCTTAGATAGACTCCCAACAAAGGATAACTTGCAAAAACGTGGGATAGTGTTACAGGAAGGGGTACTCTGCGAATTCTGTAAGGGGAAGGTGGAGGAAGTAAACCATTTATTTTGTTTGTGTTATAATGCATGGTTAGTTTGGACTCAGGTGTTGAGGTGGTGGGGTTTGGAGTCTATTTTTCCTAATACAGTTAGGGGAATGGTAGAGTTTTTCATGGGAAGTTTGGGCAGATTAGTTGGAAAAGAGATGGGTTCATGTATTTTCCTAGTGGTCGCCTGGTATCTATGGTATAGACGGAATGTTCAAGTGTTTAGAAAAGATGAAGGTTTGCCAGAGAACTTGATGGAAAGGATGCAAGTTAAAACATTTATATGGATTAAATCCAAAGTCAATGGCTGTGGATTCTCTTTTTACGAATGGCAGACTTACCCAATGGAGTGTGCTATGTCTGTCAAAAACCATAAAAGGTTGAGGAAGCAGTTCTATAAAGCTTGCGTGCCTCTGAGATGATGGTTAGGCGGGTCTGTTTTGTTTCCAATATGTAGTATGTGGGCACCTGTGGCTTTTTGTTTGTGATTAGTAAGCTGTATCAGTGGTTTTTAGGAGATTGGCTCTCCTCTATTGTGGTTACCATTTTTGTATATGGGCAGGAGCACCCCTTGTGCTTCATTAAATTAAATTTTCTTTGGCTGATCAAAAAAAAAAAAAAAGAAAAAAGAAACAACACTAGGATCCTCATCTTTGTATCAGGCAGAGCTGGTTGCCAAACAGGTTGCATCTGGGAATTGTTGCACATGTCAAAGGAATGGGGA